AGTTCTGAGGGGAAATGATTGTGACTCAAGAATTCTGTGTGAGCCGAGTCAGCTCTCAGTGTCAGGACAAGAGGAAGGTTCTCAGTGGTCCCTGGGCCCAGACACCAGCCTGCCACCTGCACACTGCCTCCCTCTCCTACCTCACACCACGGAGGTAAAAGAATGTAGATCTGAAAATAAATCCATAATAGCACTGGAAAACAAAAGGTGATGCCTGTTACACTAGAAGCTCTAAGGAATCCCTCAATAATGGAAGGCGGAAGAAGGGGGTTGGCAGGGGACACAAAGCACTAAACACAGGCAGAGCGCATCGTCATGAAAGGTGGAAGGTCCCTGGGGGTCTCTGTTCATCAAAGTGATAGGTCTGGGCAGCAGGACAGAACCTGCTCAGGAAAACTGGCTGGGGGACTCATGTGAAGCAGAAATGTGAGAGACTTCCTCTCTCCCCACCTGTGGCAAGCAGACAAAAACAGAGGTACCAACCAGCAGCTGAGAGCAACACATTGAGGGTTCTTGGCCAGAGAAGTGCTGGGTGGCTGGTAACGAACACCCAGCAGGAATGGGGAGCCCCAGCGCCCTAAAGTCTAACCACAAGTACAGCCTGACGGGCAATGTGCTTTCATGACCCCACAGAGACGAATAGCACGGCACAATAAATAAAAGCATTCAAAAAGTCTATCAAAGTATTTTTTTAAAGATTTTATTTATGGATGCCTGGGTGGCTCAGTTGGTTAAGCGATTGCCTTCGGCTCAGGTCATGATCCCGGAGTCCCGGGATCGAGTCCCGCATCGGGCTCCCTGCTCGGCGGGGAGTCTGCTTCTCCCTCCGACCCTCTTCCCTCTTGTGCTGTCTCTCTCTCTTGAATAAATAAATAAAATCTTTAAAAAAAATAAAGATTTTATTTATTTGTCAGACAGAGCGAGTGCACAAGCGGGGGGAGCGGCAGGCAGAGGCAGAGGGAGAAGCAGGTTCCCCGTGGAGCACGGAGCCTGATGCGGGGCTCGATCCCAGGACCCCGAGATCATGACCTGAGCCAAAGGCAGACGCTTAACTAACTGACCCACCCAGGCATCCCTCTCAAAATACCTTTAAAAAGAATATGTTTGCAACCTTGGAGTAGAAGAGATCTTCTTACAAATAAGACACGGGGCAGGTGGGGGGGGTGGTGCCTGCGTGGCTCAGTCAGTTAAACCTCTAACTCTTGATTTCACCTCAGGTCATGATCTCAGGGTCGTGAGATCGAGCCCCGCATTGGGGTCCAAGCCCAGCACGAGTCTGCTTGAGATTCTCTTGCTCCCTCTCCATCTGCCCCTCCCCGCCCTCTCAAATAAATAAAATCTTTTAAAAAAATAAATAAGACACAAAATACTTAGACTATATAAATATGTAAACTTCTATATGACAAAGCCATCAACAAAGTTGAAAACAAACAAGAAATTGGGTATTTGCAGTATATGTGGCAAAAATTAATACAGAGACCACAAAAAATATTCCTGCAAATCGATTGGACAATGAAATAGAAAAATGGGCAAAGGATACGAAGAAATAAAAGTGGCCACATGACAAGCAGCTCAATTTCATTAATAATCATGAAAATTTTAAAAAAAGAGAGCTATTATTTTTCTCCCCTCAAGTTGGCAAAACTGTAAAACTGATAAATGTTGAAGTGGGTGCAAGGAACCAGTACTTTCAATCACTGAGGAGAGAGCACTTGGCAATACTTATGTAAAATGCACATACCTTTTGCCTCAGCAATTCTACTTCTAATTATCTGTTCCAGAGAAAACCCCACTCAGGTAGGCTTAAATGAGGCATGAATGAAGATGTCCCTTGGTTTTAATAGCACGGACGTGGAAACCACTAGATCTATGAATAGGGGAACAGCTGAAATATGAAATATGATATATCCACATTACAAATTCTTTCCAGAACTGACATGAATCAGATCTAGAGAAACTGAGAGAATGATCTTGGACACATTTAGTGAAAAAAGTAAGATGGGTATGGTAGGAGCCATGAATACACAACCTCCCCGAAATTTCAGCCCACAAATTCAAATGTGCAAGAAGTAGTGAAATTGCACCCTTCTTTGTTGTTATATACGGTTATATCATTTTAAACTCTGAGCCCTCAACTCAAGTTGGCGGGAAATGAATCCTAAGCCATTCCTGAGGCATTGTTGCCACTCACCCCCTGCCCAGAATATTACCAGATTCCAGGAGTTTGTGCAGTGCCAAGGCTTACGAGGGCAAGGACTATGTCTCCATCTCCTCTATGTCCTCTGTATTTGGCTCAATGGCTGGCCGCAAACACCACTCAGGAAATGTCTGGGGAAATGCAGGCCATGGTCACACAGAGGGTAAGGGCCCAAAATCCAGATTCCTGCCCCCTACTCTCTGCTCCTGAGGACTCTGATTTCGGCCCATGCTTTGTGAGATCTCCCTCTCTAGGTGGCAACCTGAAGTGATAAGGTTATTTTCAGAGCCAGCTTCACAGGCATGTAACGTATGCATTCACATGGGGCCCTGGGCTCAGATGTACCACACCTGGTGTATCTCCCCCTTCCTACGGAGTACTGTCAGAGGAGACCTAGCGGAGAGGCGGGACTTTCACCTTTGACCATTGGTAAAAAAGCAACCTCCCTCCCATGGTGTCTGTGGAAGCCACAGGGGAGGGGCAGTGATGAGGCACTCGACCCTTACCGACCCGAGAGGTATAAGAGGAAGGTCTGTGGGCAGCCAGAGCTACCTCTCCTGCTAATTACTATGAGGCCCTCCTTAGTGCCAACTAAGGCCGAGTGGGGAACCTGGACTTCTTCTCCGACTTGTAGTAACAAGGAAGCTTCTCCATTTCCCCTGCCGGAGTGGTGTCAAAGGAAGCTACCATTAAAAAAAAATTTTTTTTAAATAAGCTCCAGGATCTCATAACATAATACCCAAAATGTCCAGGTTTCAATTAAAAAATCCCTCATCATATCCAAAACAAGAAACAGCTTAAACTGAACAACAAAAAACCAATCACTAGATGCCAACAGCAAGATGACAAAGGCAGAATTATCTGCAAAGATTTTAAAGCAGCCATCATAAACATGCTTCAACAAGCATTTATGAACATGCCTGAAACAAAATAAAAAAGAGTCTCAGCAAAGAAACATCAGATAAGGAAGTGTGCCTGGGTGGCTCAGTCGGTTGAGCATCTGCCTTCAGCTCAGCTCAGGATCCCAGGGCCCTGGGATCGAGCCCCACGTCGGGCTCCCTGCTCAGCGGGGAGCCTGCTTCTCCCTCTCCCTCTGCCTGCGCCTCCCCCTGCTTGTGCTCTCTCTCTCTCTGTCAAATAAATAAATAAAATCTTAAAAATCTTTTTATTTTATTTATTTGAGACAGAGAGAGAACATGAGTGGGGGTTGAGGGTCAGAGGGAGAGGATGAACGAGAAGCAGTCTCCCCACGGAGCAGGGAGCCCGACGTGGGGCTCGACTCCAGGACCCTGGATCCTGACTTGAGCTGAAGGCGGATGTTTAACTGACTGAGCCACCCACCCAGGCGCCCCTCAACTGACTTTTGATAAAGGTGCAAAAGCAATTCAGTGGAGAAAAACTGGCTTTTCAACAAAAGGCTCTGGAGTAATTGGACATCCACAGGCAAAAAAAACAAAAAGAAAAGAAAAGAAAAAGAATCTTTATCTAAATCTAACACCTTATACAAAAGTTAATTCAAAATGCATCATGTACTTAAATGTAAAACATAAAGCTTTGGGGGAAAAAAATCATAGAAAATCTTCTGAACCTAGGGCTTGGCAAAGGGTTCTTCGATTTGACACCAAAAGCACAATCCATAAGACGGAAAAGGTTGATAAATTGGCTTTCATCAAAATTAAAGACCTTTGCTCTGGGAAAGACCGTGTTGAGAAGATGAAAAGACAAGCTACAGAGTGGGGGGAAATATCGGCAGAAGGACTAGTTTCTAGATTATATAAAGAACTCTTAGAATTCACCAGGTAAACAAACACTCTAATTAGAAAATGAACAAAAGACATGAAAAGACATTTCAGTAGAGAGAATATAAGATGGGAAATAAGCATTTAAAAGGATGTTCAACATCACTACCCATAAGGAGAATGCAAATTAAAACAATGAGGTATCCCTACACATCTATCAGAATGGCTAAAATACAAAAGTTGCTGCAGCAGTGCAGAACAGGATATGGAGAACTAGACCACTTGTACCTTGCTAATGGGAATGTAAAATAGTTCAGTCACTCTGGAAGATAATTTAGTAGTTTCTTAAACAACCAAATACGTAGCAAACATATGACCCAGCAGTTGTGCTCCTTCCTGGGCATTTATACCACAGAAATGAAGGCTTATGTTAACACAAAAGTTACACACAAACCTTTATAGCAGTTTTATTTATAATAGCCAAAAACTGGAAACAACTCAGATGTCCTGTAAGGGGTGGGTGGTTAAACTGCGGTCTATCCATACCAGAGAATAGTACTCAGAAATAAAAAGGAATAAATTACTGATACACATAACAACCTGGATGAATCTTGAGAGTATTATGCTGAGTGAAAAAAAACAAAAAAAAGCCTATCTGAAAGG